CTTTCGCTGAGCGGTTTTAGGTAGTACCAAAAAAGTGGTGAATAATACTCTTGATGGTTCAATCCCCCCGCGGCGACTAAATTTTGCAATCAAGGTTGGCGGCCACTTGTTGGCTTCAAAATGGTCCTGACGATGAATTTGACATCTGATTTTGATATTTAGCGCGATTTGGCACCAAACCGTAGGCGCCAACCCAAATGCAAAATTTAGTCGCCACGGGGATCGAACCCTTAACAGTACCTTATGCTTCTTTTTTGGTACTGCTATAACCGTTCAGCGAAAATGAAACATGGTTTTGCGTTCCCTACATGCGTCCCTACAATATGCACAAAACCGTTTTGAAAAAGCGCACCTTGCCCTGAAAGACCTCCCTTGTTAGAACCGTACTGCGCTCCATCAGTATGGACGGTTTGGATTTTCTTGAGGTCACATTTATTTACCGTATTTTACCACGATAAAAGAAATGCTAAACAATGAGGACGGTGTCCCGTGGGACGATACGTGAAACCCAATTTTACAATAAGCACACTGGGTGGTATCAAGGGTTCATAGTAGCTCCTCACTTCCTGTCGTTATTCGTGCACAACCTGGTACACCTTCGTCTATCTTCGAGCGCAATATCCCTTCAAGTGGAGAATTTGCCTTCACGGGTTCATTGCAACTTCTTTTGGTCTCCACGGATACCATTTCAGACCGCCATAACCAATTAAAACAATCGCGAATTCAAAGAAACTTTGATAAATGGTGTAGCGTAACCTTTTGCAGGTAAGAGCATTTTGCGATGAGATAGGAGTGAGGAAACCCATATTGCATTTTTTTTTCAAATTGCCAAATACCTATGCTGATATGCTGATTGATTCAGCCTATGGTGGCACCTTCTCTTGAGACCAACTAGGTAATGGCAGAGCATTTCCAAGCTGTTCATTTTCCGCTGCGATTGCGAAAAAATCGCAGTTGGCTCATTGCCCACTTCTGTCTACAATTCCAAAGACTGTAAAGAAAACCATGCTTTCTGCAATGAAGAGAAATCAAAAAAAAGACAAAAAAAGCAATGCTTCCTCCAGCGAATTGGTAGTCAGTTCTCAGATCGGTCAGATGCGATTTTCCCCAGCTACAGTGACTTCCTCAACAATTTTGTGAGCGTGGCGTCCTTCTTGCCCTGCTGCCACGACGTGGATCTCCTGACCGGCCCCTGAACCAAGCCACTCGAGTTCCTGACTTGAGGACGGAACTTTTCAATGATTCGGAGTGACTCAACGTACAGGACAGGTGCATTCAGAGTCGTAGTGGAAGCCTCTGGAACCGCATGCGCATAACCAATTTGGTGCTGCATTTTTGCCCTAGGAAGCAGCAGTGAGCGAGCGACCAAGTGAGCTGCTGGAGGCTGCGAGACGACGTATTACCATCTCTCCATATTCCACTTTACCTGCCACCAGGTCTAGCCTCTCAACTAGTTCTGATCTTTTTCCTCTGAACGTGTGCATTTTTCTCGGATTAGCCACGAGGTGATCTGCAACGGTAAGGAAAACACAAACGAGTGCAGCAGTTGGCAGCCCGCAAACTATTAACATATTCAAATCACGTCAAAATAAACGATTGTGAATGGGAAACAAGCGCGTGGCGCATTCCATAGAGGAATAAATTATCACCAAATGCTCCTCCTATTCTCCCGTCACACTGTTTACGCTAGTCTATCAAGCACTTCAACACATGTTCAAAAGTGCTTCCACGTGTGATTAATGATTCTACGGCAATCGCCTCACAATTTACGATACCACTTCAATTTCTCGCTTCGACCTTTCACAGATCACAAGTAAAAAGAATGGACTAGAACTTGACAAAAGGTCCAGAGTGCTAACAACATACATGAATTTTCTTTTTCTCGTTCTTAAAACAACATCCCCAACAAAATGTGGAAAAAATCTGTTCAGTGGGTAGAAGTAGCCCATGTATCGCAGATGTGCCGTTGTCGCGGTTCGAAAGTGCGCGGCTATGGCGCTTGGGTCTTGCAGAGTTAAGGCTACTACAGGGGTGGCCAAAAAAAGACACTTCACTCCACATTTCAGACAGCATTAATCACACTTTGCTAGAATCAAATCGACTGCCCCAACTTAGTATTAAAGAGCACATTCTAATCTATCTAAATGTTACATGACAGCCTTCTACACCGACGATCAGAAGATTTTCCCACGGAAACATGGTTCACGGTACGAGCTCAACGAGGTCGTCGAGGTACCATAGACCATTACGACGTCCCTGAAACGCTGGTCAAAAGCGGTCTTGCACAGTCACAGCTAGTGTCTCTGAGAAGCTATTCACCAGTTAATCCATTGAAGAAATTATGTAGCAGCTTCAGGCCGGAGCGATTACGGTAAGCCTCGTTGAGCTCGACGGTGACGGCAGATGACGTCATATTCTGGTGGCGGCTTTTTGGAAACGTATTTAATGCATTTGTTAGGGACGCATGTATGGACCACAAAACCATGTTTCGTTTTCGCTGAACGGTTTTAGTAGTACCAAAAAAGGTGTGAATAATACTCTTGATGGTTCAATCCCCGCGGCGACTAAATTTTGCAATCAAGGTTGGCGGCCACTTGTTGGCTTCAAATGGTCCTCTCTCATCCATACACTCTCTTGTGCTTTCCCTGCCTGGTTCTCTCTCATCCATACACTCTCTCGTGCTTTCGCCGTCTGAGTCTCTCATCCATACACGCAATTCCTTTGGTGCCGCGGTCTCATACAGTACTCGATCAACCAGAAACATTATTGGGTGGGCTTTCAACTGCTCTTTTTATTCCTTCTCTCATTGTAGGGCTACCCAGCACATTCTGCCTCAGAGTTTGAGCGCCAGTACGCAAATTTCGTGATCGCGAAGATCTTAGTTGACACCATCCGTCGGGCGGAGATCGATCTTTTCATTGCATAGACCTCACATGTGATACGGCAATAAAGTGAAATGTGTTTTTGGCACGGCAAAGAGAAGGGCAGACCAAATGGTAAATGCTTTCTGTACCAACAGTGGCTCAAATCCGCTTATACCATCATCGTGGAATGTGTTCTTAAGGCACCTTTCGGGACTATATATGTAGGTTAGTGGAGCCCAAAAACCAAGAAGTTGCAGCAAATGGCCCTCTAGTGATGCAATGAAGCGAAAAAATTGCTCAAGGCTCTTAGAATTGTGCTGCACTCCATTGGTATGAACGCTTCACCAGTTCGGAACCTCATTGGTCACATTTCCTTATCGTATTTTACCACATCAGAAGAAACGCTGACCAATGAGACTGCCGTTGGGAAGTGACGCAAAACTCGCCCCTACAATAAGCGCACCGCGTGGTAAGGGTTCCAAGTGGTTCTTTCCCTCCTTTCGTTACTCGTGAACCAACTGCTGAACTACTTCTTGGGTTGTCGATCTTGCGCCTTGGCGACAAAGATCTAGGTAAGCCTTGTAGCCTCTTGGTTCAATCGATACCGCCTGTTGGTTTAGTAGTCTGGAGAAATTGTCTTCAGGATTGTTTGGCCATGAAAGGATCGGTCTCAATTGCTTTTCGACTTTTCAGGCTCTGACGAAGGCGAAGAGGCCGAAACGTAAGCCTAATAAAAGCTACTGTAATCTTGGACAGGCTACAACAAATTCTACACATCAAATTCCATGCCAAGATTGAGAGAAAGTCGTTCTTGGACTATGGTAGAACTACGTTAATCTTCAAGCGCAGGAACCCTTTAAATGGAGAATTTGCCTTCACGGGTTCGTAGCAGTTTCGTTTGGTCTCGACGGTTATCCTCATTCCTCATTTTCCACCGCCATAACCAATCCCAACAATCGCGAATTCAAAGAAACTTTGGTAAATGGTGTAGCGTAACCTTTTGCAGGTAAGAGCATTTTGCGATGAGATACGGAGTGAGGAACCCATATTGCATTTTTTTCAAATTGCCAAATACCTATGCTGATATGCTGATTGATTCAGCCTATGGTGGCACCTTCTCTTGAGACCAACTAGGTAATGGCAGAGCATTTCCAAGTTTCATTTTCCGCTGCGAGTACGAAAAAAATCACAGTTGGCTCCTTGCCCGCTTCTACCTACAATCCCGAGGATTGTAAGGAAAGTCTTCGTTTCTGCAATGAGGAGGAAACAAAACGAACGAAAAAACAAACAAAAAATAAGCAATGCTTCCTCCAGGCGAATTGGTAGCAGTTCTCAGATCGGTCAGATGCGATTTTCCCCAGCTACAGTGACTTCCTCAACAAATTTGTGAGCGTGGCGTCCTTCTTGCCCTGCTGCCACGACGTGGATCTCCTGACCGGCCCCTGAACAGCCACTCGAGGTCTCACCAGCTGTCTTGAGACGAACTTTTTCAAAATGAATTCGAGTGACTCAACGTACAGGACAGTTGCATTCAGAGTCGTAGTGGAAGCCTCTGGAACCGCATGCGCATAACCAATTTGGTGCTGCATTTTTGCCCTAGGAAGCAGCAGTGAGCGAACGACCAAGTGAGCTGCTGGAGGCTTCGAGACGACGTATACCAATCTCATCCATATCCACTTACTGGCCACCAGGTCTACCCGCCTCTCATATCTGTCTTTTTCCTTCTGAACGTGTGCATTTCTTGGATAACCATGAGGATCTAACACCGGTAGGAAAACACAAACGATGCAAGCCAGTTGCAACCCGCAATTATTAAGATATCCAATATCAACGTCAAATTTAATGGAAACAAGCGCGTGGCGCATTCCATAGAGGAATAAATTATCACCAAATGTCCCGTCACACTGTTTACGCTAGTCTATC